GCATGCTGCTGCACCCATGCACCCCTGTTATTTTCTCTCTCCAAAACCCTCTCCACTGCTTGCCTACGTCCTTGCCTCTGGCTGCACTTCACTCAATCTCTTCTCAACGCTTCTACTCCTCCAAAATTCCTCCCCCTGCCATGCCACCCCCCTTCCACCCTCCGCCCTCCCTTCCTTCACTTATTCTCCCTCCTCTCCACTCCCACCTCTTTCCCCCCACCTCCCCTCCCCCCGCAGAGTGCCACAAGGGCCACCACGGCCCGGTGCATTGCATCCGCTTTGCCCCGGACGCGCTGTCGTACGCGTCGGGGTCGGAGGACGGCACCATCCGCATCTGGAAGCTCGCCACCGCCGCTGCCGCTGCCACTGCTGCCGCTGCCACTGCTGATTCTGCTGCTACTGCTGCAGGTGGTGGTGCGGGTGGGAAGGGGGAGGGGTTGGAGCGCAATGGAGTGAGCGGAGGGGTAGTGAGGGTGGGTGCAACGGAAGAGGTGATTAAGAAGGTTGAGGGCTTTCATATAGCGGCCTCATGACCTTCGTTGTGACTTGCTGTCAAAGACGTGTGCGTTGGCGGTTTTAGTGATTTTATTTGATATCTACCATAAGATTGATTTGCTATGTCCTGATATCCCCGTGATTTCTCTCTTTAGTTATCATCGCGGTGTGTTTTGTATGGAGAGCATCCGTCGGAGCAGCTTGTGGCGCGAACGGGAGGCGCACAATTTTCTGAGTCCTCCCATTCTGGGCTTCGCAATCGGCCATCCGCGTTCTCCGCCGCACCAGCCGATGCATCGCTCCGCGCATCCCCCGCTGTCCCACCTCGCGGCCGCACGCCTCGCCGCGTCAGAGCTCTCGGCGCGGCGTTGCTGCCGTCTTCTGTGCCACGTCACAACGCTCCTCTTAGCGCCATTCCCGCCGGCGAGAGCGGTCGCTTCTGCGGCATCGCAATCCCGCGCATCCGCCATTGCGCCCTCCCCGCAACGCGCGTCCCGCATTCCGGGCTTTCCGCTGCGATCATTTTCGTCGAGCTCGTGTGGATTCAAAGCCACGTCACCCAACCGCCTAGCCACTTCAGCCTCCGTCTCACCTCTCTCCCCGCACCAGCCATCCGCGCCCCTCCCGCCCATGGCGTCGGCGGAGCCCTTCTCCGCTCCGACTACGCAATGCGCCAGCTCCCCGGCCCCTTCCCCTCTTCATCCCCCCCGCCTCTTCCCCTCCTCCGGCCCTTACCCCCCGCGTGCCGCTCTCGCGGCGCCTGTGGCGGAACGCGCCCAGCGCGCGCGCAGCAATGGCGGCGCTGTACCACCCGTTCGTGCTGGCGCTGGGCGCGGGATCGCTGCCGCGGCGGCGCTTCGTGCGGTACTCGCTGCAGGACGCCTTCTTCCTCTCCGCCTTTGCTGACTCGTGAGTGGCAACTCGCGAGTGGGTGGGGTGGCGCGGGGCTGCCCTGTGAGAGCTCAGATCCCTTGTGGATCCTTCAGACCGCGGGACAATGGATCCATTGTCCGCCGACGCAACACTTTCCCTTGTGGGTCCATCTTTTCCCGGCGGGTGGGCGCTACTCCCTGCAAGTCGCGCTCTTCCTTTCTGCATTCGCGCTCTCGTGGGTTGTGGGCGGCGCACTGGTGGGTTGTAGGCGGCGCCAATGCTGCTCTGCGTGCACGAGGTGGTGTCTATGGAGCCCGCTGCTGCACTGGCTGGTTGCTGCGTGGCGGACCACCCAGCTGACAGCTGTGAATGGGTGTAAGCCTGCTCGTGCTGCATCCGCTGTCGATAGCTCTTCCTACATTATCGCCTCTGTGTGACTCACACTTCCTGTCATGGCATGGCATGGCATGGCATGGCATGGTATGGCATGGTATGGCATGGTATGGCATGGTATGGCATGGTATGGCATGGTATGGCATGGTATGGCATGGTATGGGCAGGTATGGGGCGGCGGCATCACTCCTGGATGGGGGCGAGGAGGATGGGGAGGGGGTTCAGGAAGGGGAGGGGGAGCTGAGTGTGCGGGCGGTGCTGCAGCGGTTGCAGGGGGAAGCAGATGGCGAGCTGGTGATGCACGCAGGCACTGTGAAGGTACTGTGCTGTCCAACGGTGCTGTGAGGTGTGCATGCACACGGACGTCCTACAACATCCAATCATGCACCGACATCCACGCGCCTCACCTCATGCCATCCACGCGCCTCACCTGATCCCATCTGTCCGCTGAACTCGTTGGTCCCTGTGCTCTCGCCACCATGCCACACCATGCCACACCATGCCACACCATGCCACACCATGCCACACCATGCCACACCAAGCCACACCATGCCACACCATGCCACACCATGCCACACCATGCCACACCATGCCACACCATGCCACGCCATGACCTACCATGCAGGCATGGGTTGAGGAGTCACGTGACCCATCCCGAGCACGCACGGACCAGGATGCGGGCGTCACTGCGGACGTCACAACAGACAGCGCCCCTCTGCCGGCCACTCTAGAGTACACGGCCTTTCTGGCGCACATCGTGAGGGGGGAGAGGGGCGTATGGGATGGCATGGGTTTGGGGGAGGAGAGGGGCGAGAAGGACAAAAAAAGCCACCCGTACGACCATGTGAATGGCTTCAGGCCCTCGGAGGATCGGGTCTCCCCAGGTGCCCGTCGCTGGCACGCCCTGTGTGTGCTGGCGGCCATGCTGCCGTGCATGCGCCTCTATGCCTTCATAGGTCAGACCCTGGGGGGCGCCGTGTGGGGCATGCGCGGAGTGGTGGGGGCGGCGAGGGGGGGAGGAGGTGAATGTGGCAGCAGCGAGGTGTGCTTCAAGGGAGGGACGAGTCTGTCGGAGGGCGACTGGCAGTGGCACCCGTACGGCCAGTGGCTGCACACGTACTCGTGCCAGGGCTTCGAGGTGAGCAGGGGGATGGTGGGGAAGGCGGAGTAGGGCGGTGCGTTGCGTGCTGTGCGATGGCTGCCATGCCATGCCATGCCATGCCATGCCGTGCCATGCCATGCCATGCCATGCCATGCCGTGCCATGCCGTGCCATGCCATGCCATGCCATGCCATGCCGTGCCGTGCCGTACCATGTGATCGTGTACTCCCTCCGTCCGGCACTCCTCTCTCCCCCCCCCCCCTCTCTCTGTATGTCTGCATGTCTGTGTGCACGCGTGCGCCTGCCCACAGGCAGCAGCATCGCTCCTGGAGTCAGCATTTGACCGCCTGTGGTCGCGCCACCTCCTCTCCCTGCAGCATTCCTGCAGCTCCCAATCCGCATCGCAGCAGCACCTGTCAGAGCAGCAGCGGCAGGCAGAGCAGCACCTGTCACAGGTGTACGGCAGAGCCATGCAGCTCGAGTTTGACTTCTTCCACGCGCAGCTCGCTCCCTTCCCCACTGCCCCGCCACTGCCACATGCACCGCTCTCCGTGCTTTCCGTTCCCGTGTGGCCGGGCTTCTTTGCCCTGGCGTCACATGGGCAGGCGACCGTGAGAAGGGAGGCGTCAGAAGCAGGAGGATCAAGCAGGGCCGGTGCAAGGCGGGTGGTGTTGGCTGTGGACTTTGACGGCACGTGCACGGTGGACGACTCCAGCGCCCTGCTCGCCTGCCTGGCCCTCGCCCAGGCTGGCTCCAGTGCAGGCGCCCAGCAGGTGTGGGACGACCTGGTGCAGCGGTACGTGCAGGACCACTCTGGCTTCATGGCCAGCAACCTGCCGCCCCACCCACCTGCTGCTGCACACAGGGACAGCAGCAGCAGCAGCAGCAGCAGCAGCAGCAAGACAAGAGACCAGCGCAGTGACAGTAACACCAGCAGCAGCAGAAGAAGCAGCGCCACCACCACCACCAGCGCTACCCCTGACCTTCCTCCTGGCCTCCTCCCCTTCCTCCACCGCCTCTCCTCCTTCGAGGCCATGGCCAATCAGCGCGTGACAGCTGTCGCCGCCCTGCAGGGCATTCCCCAGCACGCCTTGCTGGCAGCAGCCAGGGAGGCTGCTGACGTGGCAGAGGGGAAGGGGTGGGAGAGGGCAGGGGGAGCTTCAGGTCCGGGTGGCCCGCGGGTGCTGAGCGAGTGGGGGGGGAGGGGGGTGTGGTGCAGGTGGTATCTGTGAGCTGGAGTGGGGCATATGTCAGGGAGGCTGTGAGGCACGCAATGCTGATGGAGGAGGGGGAGTGGGGAGAGAGGGGGAAGCAAGGAGAGGCAGAAGGGGTTGGGGAGAAGACATGCAGTGGTGTGGGGGAGGAGGGTGGAGCAGGCGAGAACAGCATGGTGGTGGTGAGGGCGAATGAGATGGAGTTTGATGCACACGGTGTGTCCACGGGTGCAGTGGACTTCCATGTGCAGGGGCCCATGGATAAAGACACCATCTTCCATGCCCTCACACATGGCAAGCTCACACACGGTGGCCCCGAGCACGAGACTGCAGGTGCAGCAACACCAGCAGCGCCGTGTGCCCCCCTGTGGCCCTCCGCCCATCCCGCGCTGTCATTGGCGATAGCACCACGGACTTGTTGCCCTTGCTGCGAGCGCAGGTGGGCGTGGTGATGGGGGGAGGGGCGTCCAGCCTGGGCAGGGTCATTCGGGCCTTCGGCATTCACCGCCTGCCGCTGGTGGCGTTGGCTGTGCTGCACGTGCAGCAGGCTGCGGCGGAAGTGAAGGGGGGGGGGCGAGAGAGTGGCTGTCCTGAGCTGGTGGTGCCGCCATGGACGGTGTTCGATGCCTGCAGTTGGGAGGAGCTCGAGGTATTCCTCTTTGGGCCCTACTCTCAGAAACCCTGACCTCTAGGCACTCTTCAATTCATTGTGATCAATGGTTATATTATTTCTAACATTTCAACTCAGAACTGGGCTTCCTTGCAACACATTTATACACATGCAAAGCATCACAAACTGGCACAGCCAGGAGTCACCAGAAGCATGCGAATAAAGATGGCTGGAAACTGGAGAAGGGGAAGCAAAGAAAAAAGAAACGAATTTGAAGGATGAGAAGGCGTGCTGGTTGCCCCTGTGCTCTGCCGTGTCTGTGATGTGAGCCTTGCCGGACCGCAGCAGTCCGTGTCCTTACTGGCACTGCTCAAGTCAGTCTGCCTTACAGCGAGAAATTTCTGAAATCAATTCTTTAGTCTTCCAGCATCTGGTAACTGTCTGGTCCCCACCCCACGCCAGGGTTGCCGGCTTGCCAGTCGTTATCTCCGCATGATGGCGCGTTCCACGGTGTGAGCAGCCAGCACCGTCGACGCAGCGGCCTTCCAGAAGTCCTGGAACGCCAGGTTGTGCTGATGCCACTTATTCTCCAGCTCCACGCGCGGCCCCCATTGCTTTAACGACCGTCGCCACGACGACGTGCCTTCCACGGCATGCTGCCACCCGCTCCTCGCTGCGACGTCTAACGCTGGCACGACCGTGCCGCCGGCGAACTTGACGGCCTTGTCGCCAGCGTAGAAGGCGGCTGTGGGGAACAAGAAGTTAGAGTAGTAAAACGTAAGTGGTCATGATTTTCAGCAATGACAATGGCGAAGAAAATTATAAAAAGGGCTGAAAAATATGAGACGTACCATCGCATGGCAATCTTGCAAAATCGCTGGCGGGGAGACCAATCCCGACGCCGATGAGCGTAACGCCAATGTTAAAGCCGACGCCGCAACCCGCACCCACGTATCCGACCACCTCTGGCCCGAACCCCGGACCCCATCCCACGCCGCAACCCAAACCGACGCCGAAACCCCAGAAAGCTCCGAGCGTCGGGTGCACAGGATTCCACCTCTTGTACTTCCGGTATAGGTGGATAAGCGTCATGCAGATAGCAGAATTGACCCTTACTCAACTGGTTCTTTCCACAGGCCAGTGAAACGGAACTGAAAGTGCTCGACACAGTATCTCAGTTGCTCGACAGGAGTAGTGGGATGCACAACCAGGACCTGTGCAGAGCTGGTGTATCACAAGAGGTTAGCTGGAGTGAGTATCAGGGAGCAGCAAGATGAGGTGGGTGTGACTCCTACAGGCACGTCCCACGCAGAGCAAAGAGAATTCTGGCACGAGGGGAGGCTGGGACAGGTGTGGGGGAATGGGGGGAATGACGGGGAGGGAAGGCCGAGGGACCACTCACCCAATGTCGCGTTGTGATTTCGCGTCTGGGGCACTTGACGGAACGAGCTTGGCGGGCTTCGAGTTTTGCTGACTGGGAATAACTTCAGGGCAGCTTGGGGGGGACCAGGCAGCACGGTTCATCTGAAGGGCAGATGAGGAAAGACTCAGGCCTTAGGATGCTGGGTCAAATTCACTCTTTTCCGTTTCGTCAAGTTCAACCGTCAAGAAGACGTCCGTCAGAGGGGTTCACGGATGTTGTTTCAGCAGTGAGTGTGACACTATCGTGTGATGCGCTGGCAGAGCATTCCTGCTGGGTGACCCCCGCAACGCACAAATAGAACCAATAGAATTGCAGCGTCTGCCTCATCCGCTACTGAGTGGCTGCTGATAGGACCTGAGCCCATCCCTGTTGGACGACGCCACGAAAAGGTTGCGTCACGTGCCAAGACTCGCCACGAGGGCAGGTAGAATCTCCACGCAAAAAGGTCGAATCACACACGTTTCGCGATTTTCCCTGACCCTGTTTTTTTTTATTACCATACAGAAGCCACTTATATAACCTTGCAATAGCTTTTCCAAATTAGGAAATGCACTTCACCCTCCTTGATCATGAAGTCGACACAGTTCAAAACGAGTATAAGGTGTGCATTTTATGTCCCGCTTTTACATCCCGTTGATAGCTGAATGCATGAATTTTGTAGCCAATACAGACGAGGGTGACGGCAGAGTATTACCATGATGTGGAGCACAGATAATTGATTCCCGTGGCATGATCAGCATGTGTTATAGCTTGCATTATTAGCTTGATTCATCCTACGATCATGCATCTTAGGGGGGACAAGCATACAAAAATATAAATTGGTAAAAGCCCCTGTGCTCCAAGGGCATCAGTTCTGGCGGTAAGCAATGAAGTCAGCGAGGCCAAGGAGAGGAGCTGCCTTGCGCTGGTCGAAATCACTCAGCTGCTCCTTCGCCTGGCGAATCAAATCCGCTGCCAATTGCTTTGACTGCTCCAAACCCAACAACCTGAGATGGAAGGATGTGCACAGGTTGAAGGGCAGTAGGAAGCATGGGCGTGAGTTGAAGGGAAGAGGAGACAGGTGCCAGGAAGAAAGCGCGAAGGTGGCAGAGGGGTGTATGGAGGTGGGAAGGGAGCTGTGTGGGAGAGTGGGGGAGTGGTTCATGCCACCACAACGGAACCCTGTGCACTTGGGAAGCTATATGCTCATACATTCAAACACTAGTGCCACTGCCTGCCATGCACAACTCTACTCCTCCCACTTTTGAGCCCTGCTTCACAAGTCTGTTTGAGCCCAGCCCTTGGTGTTCCCAAGGCTGAGCTCATTGTCTTGTGCCAGGCCATTCTAGGGCATCTCCACCACGCTCATTTCAACCACCGCCTATGCCTTCCACTTTTCCTCGTGAGCCACGTCCTTCCTAGGAGATGCCTACATGGGCTACGTGGCATCCTCCTAGTAGAAATAGGTCTCCACTCTCACCACACTCACGTGGGGCACGTGCCATCCACACTCACTTGGGGCACGTGCCCTCCACACTCACCTGGAGTACGTGCCTTCTACACTACAATCACATAAGGCACGTGGCCACCACACTCACTTGGGATACGTGGCCTTGTCCTGCGCCAGGTCCTTGCCCGCCGTCTTACCCAGCTCCTCCGTGGACTTGGTCACGTCCAGAATGTCGTCCACCACCTGCCGCCACACACCGCCACGCGCGGAAGAGGAGGAGAGTGGAAGAGGGGGGTTAGATGAGAGATCCCTAGTCTATCAGAGAGTGGCGTGTAATAGAAGGGAACAGACGTTTGCCAACAGAGGGAACCAGCGGCACGACGCAAGCAGGAACCTACCTGGAAGCCGAGTCCGATGAACTGGGCGTACTTGCGCAAGCGCGCCACCTGCTCCTCCCTGGCCCCGCCCAGCACGGCGCCCGCCACCACGGCCACCTCCAGCAGCGCCGCCGTCTTGTGGCGGTGGATGTACTCCAGCCGCTCCACGCCCACCGTCGGATCGTTCTCGCTGTCCAGGTCCACGATCTGCCCGGGGGCGGAGGGTAAGGCAAGGCAGAGCCTGCGGTTAAGCATTGGAACAATGTCGTTAACCTTAGCTTCAGCTGAGGGTATGGTCATCAGATTCAGCTGTGTTGTGCCAAACAGGCTGTTCTCACAAACATCATGATTGATTGACGGACTAGCACGCTCTCAAGAATGATTCATTCATACCCACTAACTATGACAGTTCCTCTTCTTATGACAGACCCACGAGACGCGGCACCCACCAACCACGGCACCCACCAACCACGGCACCCACCTGGCCGGCGACGAGGCCCTCCGACCCCACGGCCTTGCCCAGGTCCGCGATCACCCGCACGATGCGCTCCGGCGGCACCGACGACGGCGTCGCGCGCGCCACGTGCTCGAAGGCGAACGACAGCATGGCGTCGCCGGCCAGCACTGCCACGTCCTCGCCGTACACCTGGCACGCGGGGAATGGGGGCGACAAGTCACAGTACGTTTCAATTCACAAGCTTATCTCCTCTTTTCCACGCCGGTTTTCCAGATTATTGAATCTCCTTATTCTCGCAAGGAAACCGAACGCTAGTAATCCACCAGCGTTTTGCACGCAACGGTGGGTAAAGCCGTCCGCAGAATGCGCGGCGTACCTTGTGGTTGGTGGGCTTGCCGCGGCGGAAGTCGTCGTTGTCCATGCACGGCAGGTCGTCGTGGATGAGCGACATCGTGTGGATCATCTCCGTCGCGCACGCCGCCGCCATGGCCGTCTCCTGCGAACCCCCCACCAGCTCGCACGCCGCGATGCACAGGCACGGCCGCACGCGCTTGCCGCCTGCCAGCAGCGAGTAGCGCATGGCCTCGTGGATGCGCTCGGGGTACTGCAGCGGCACCGCCGCGTCCAGCGCCTGGTTGACTGCTATGGCCTTGGCCCTCATGTACGCCTCGAAGTTGAACTCTGAGGATGGGGAGAACCGACGCGGAGGGAAATGCATGACAGGGAGGAGAGACTTTCGGTAGGGAAACAGGGAATTTATCAGATAAGCTTGGAGACACATGCTATTGTAATGCGACTGAAGTCTGCTACCGGAATTAGAGCATTTAATGTGGCAAATTTCGACCAGCGTTGTAATGCCTCTAAAGCATGAAATACGATCCAGGAGAATCACGTCCCGCACCTTCGGTCACTATGGAGTCTAGTTGGCTGGACATCTGAACATCTGCGACGGCCTTCTGAGCCACTGGCATTCGCCGCGCTGCTCCCTGCTGCACCTGCTGCCGCCGGCCGCCATCCTGTGTGCTGCCGTCTGATGGGATCCCCCCGCCGGCAGTCAGCGAGGCACTGACTGAATGGCTGACGGCCACCTTCCTCGCAGCAGGGGATTTCCCCTTGGAGCTTGTTAATAGCAAACAGCTCTTTGAGAAAGCGATTTTTGACGAAACACCAGCCATGGCGACTTTCTCTCTGGAATCAGCTCGGGAGAAGGGTTCTCCGAGTACGGGGCACAACGTAACCTCCTCCGCTGTGATTCTACCGTCACTTCAGTGCTGGACTGTGCAATTCCCTTTCCCAGGATTAGGTGCTCTACTTTAGCATCAATGGCGAAGCTAGGCTTAGAAGATGCACATCTACAGCAGTGACAAGCAAGCAAGATGAGAAAGGTAAGAGTTGTTAGTGTCGCCTGAGCAACAGACGAACACACGGAGCGACAGACAGAACAACACCCTCAGCAATGCGGAAATGGCTGGAAGAGCACCACCACAAGAGCCTTGAGAATGCCTAAGACTCTCTTCCACCAGCCTGAATGCTGAATCCGAGTTCCTGGAAAGGTAGGGAGGACAAGAGAACACGGGTTGACTGGCTGAACCGGCAGAAGCCGAGCCGTGAATCCACACAGGTGCCACTCAGTGTTCTCAGCAGAAGCCTATCACATAGCGCACTGCCACGTTGACTAATCGCCACGTCAGATTCCGGAGGTCGCGAAAGCACATTGACGAGTTTCGCCCAAGCGGGGTTGTGTTTTGCGACGGGATCGGATTCCCCAGCAGGAGGTTGCTGATCGCGTGCGGAAGAAAGCCACTCCGCGGTGACCACGTAAGCCGCGGTGGATTCGTCGTCACCCTCAACATGCAGCCTCTTCAAAGCCAAAGGTGAGACGCAAAGGCTTCGATATAAGCGCAATCACGGCTTCAGGATGGAAAGTAGATTCAACTACGATATTGAAGGGCATCTACACTACATAATATGCTAGCCCATCAAACCTACTTCAAGCTTCAAATGGCCAATGACCACACAAGGAGCCCAGAACTAAACAAGGTCACGTGTAATCCAAAAACTACATCTAGGCCAACCACAAATAGCGCAGGGATGCCAGATTGACATGGTCTAGGCATGCAGGGCAGTGTGGTAGGAGCAAGGATACAAGCTGGTGTTGTCAATTGACGAATGCAGGGAATGATGCAGGATTTGAAGGGATAGATAAATGGCAACGGCAATCCATAAGTGCAGGGGGTGATGATGGACAGAGCAGCAGAGAAACGTGAGGGAAAAGGACTTGTGCCTCGTGATTGCATGTTTATGCAGGTGCATGATGACACCCAGACCGGGAATGCGAAGGGTGAGAGAAACAATGCATGTGACACTGCCTTTCACATGGTGCAGAGGAATGGAGATGCAACACATGCAACACATGCATGCATGACGGCCTGACAAACATGTAGACACATAAGTACCAACCACTGACACATGGCATACTGTGGCATGGCATGGCAGGGAGCAGTGCAATGATGACATCAGCCTGCAAGGTTGGGGAAAGGAGAAGAGGAGGGCGAAGAGGCATCACGGGATGGGTGAGCTCAATACGCACGTGGGCACACAGACAAATGCTGCCAATAGACTCCCTGCCGTAGCAGGCAGTTGAGGCCTTCACATTATGTTGGAGGAACGGCAGGATCTGACTGCACACCTAAAGACCCGGCAGAGATGCACCCAGTGCGTGGCTCCATTCCCTCCCCCGGCCCCTCTCCCCTCCCCTCGTCACCCCACTCTCCCAACTCACCCCACTCATCCTAACAAGAAGTCCGTCAATCAGTCAGAATCACTTGAGCTGCGAGAGCTGTTGGACCTGCGGAGTGGTTGATAATAAGAGAGGGGGGAGGGGTGCGGCATGAGTGTGTGTGCGGTGCCCCAATGACAGGATGGCAGGCCACCAGCCAGCGACACTGCTGCCGTGGGAGCTCTTGGACCTGCGATGCGCTCTATAATGGGTGAGCGGAACGGTGAAGGGGAGGGAGGAAATGGGGAGGCGGGGAGGGAGGGAGGGAGAAAGGAAGGGAGGTAGTGCCACGGCCCGTTGGTGCATGGCATGGGAGATAACACACCCATGGCGTGACGTGGACGAAGAATGTGGGATATGTGTGTATGTATGACAAGAGATCGTCGCATGCCATGGGGCATGGCAATATGCCACGGAGGGTGCTTGAATTGAATGAACAGTGCACCAACAGGGTCAGACACCAGCTCCAGATCGCTCCTCTCTGCCCCCCGCCCGACTCGCACCCCTTTTAAATTACAACTTGCTCAAGCTCAGAACCCAAATTGCTCAACCCGAGTCAACAGGAGGTCGGTGGGTTGGAAAACGAAAACGTATTGGGTGCGACACTTGAGGGCGTTGTTCGATTGGTCGTTTCTAGCCACACCGGGCCCAGTTTGATCCCTTCAGCTAATTTGGGACCTGGGCTTTAACACATTGCCCATCTATCCACCTGGTCAGGAAGCCTGCAGTCTGCTTCACTACCTCCCTCTCCTCATACTGTACTCCAGCAATCCTCACAGCTCACCTGCTGGGGCTGCTCTTGGCTGGCCGCTTGCGAGGAGGCGACCTCTGCACGCAGCAAGGAAGGGTGAGGCAGCATACAGGGGGGAACGGTTTGAAAAAGAGAGGGGGAAGGAATATGGAGAGGAGTGCGGAAAGAGGTAAGTACGAGGGCAGACCTCCATGCATTTAAAACACACAGATGCGCCCAAACAGTTACGGCCACAAAGTGCTCAACAGCCACACACACAGCCACAAAGAGCATGCATCTCAGGCAGCTCACTCACAAACATACTCGCATGCACCACTACATACCCCAAGCCCACCCATGCATCCGCCCATGCATCCCCGAGGCTCACCCTGCGCCGGTCGCCGTCAGACGAGGAGGTGGCGGAGGAGGAGGACGGCGACTCTGAGCGCGCACGCTTGGGGGGAGGAGAGCGGTCGGGCCTGAGGGAAGGATGCACGGACACCGGCACTTGAGCGCGATTCAAGGAGAGACAACAGGCGGCCAGGGGGAGGACGGCAGGCAGACGAGACGGGGGGGAGAGAGCACAGGAGCGTGGATGGAGATGGGACGAAGCAGAAGAGAAGGTTCAGCTGGGCCGCTGGGGGACGGGGGTGGAACGAGGTGGGGAGCACAACAGGGGGGAGGGCTGGGGACCGACCTGCGGGGGGGCGGTGGTGGGGGCGAGCGCTGGCGTCGGGGGGGAGGGGAGCGCGAGCGGCGGCGCATCGGGCCCGGGCTGGAGCGACGGGCGGGGGGGGAGCGACGAGGGGGGGAGGGACGCCGGCCAGGGGAGGAACGACGGCGGGGAGGTGGAGATCTGGGATGGGGGGGAGGGGGGGAGGAAGGAGAAGCTGTGACAAGGGGGAGCACGGAGGTGGGAAAGGCAGGCCAGGGAGGTGGCTCTAGGCGCGGCACAACAAGATGAGAGGGAGGGGATGCAAGAAGAGGAAAGCCACAAAGGTAGGAAGAGGAGTGAAGTAAAAGGAGGTGGCGCGAGCGAGAGGGAGGGGACAACCACAGGGGACGGGGAGGAGGGGCGAAGCTGCTAAAAGCGAATCAAGTGGCTACCTTTGGCCGCGGTACGGGATGGGCGAGCGGCGCCTGGCAGGGCTTCTCACGCGGCGGGGGGGAGAGGGACTGCGCTGCCTGCGAGGGGGAGATCTGCAGGGGGGGGGAGGAGAGAAGGGGGGGGGGGGGGAAGGGAGGGGGAGAGGGGCAGCAGACAAAGAATGGACACCGTAGAGCGACTTCCCTGCGACGCCCTATGCCCTGTTAGGCTGTTACACCCACCCACCACGCCCTATGCTCTGTTAGGCTGTTACACCCACCCACCACGCCCTATGCCCTGTTAGGCTGTTACACCCACCCACCCCGCCCTATGCCCTGTTAGGCTGTTACACCCACCCACCACGCCCTATGCCCTGTTAGGCTGTTACACCCACCCACCCCGCCCTATGCCCTGTTAGGCTGTTACACCCACCCACCACGCCCTATGCCCTGTTAGGCTGTTACACCCACCCACCCCGCCCTATGCCCTGTTAGGCTGTTACACCCACCCACCACGCCCTATGCCCTGTTACACCCACCCACCACGCCCTATGCCCTGTTAGGCTGTTACACCCACCCACCCCGCCCTATGCCCTGTTAGGCTGTTACACCCACCCACCACGCCCTATGCCCTGTTACACCCACCCACCACGCCCTATGCCCTGTTAGGCTGTTACACCCACCCACCACGCCCTATGCCCTGTTAGGCTGTTACACCCACCCACCACGCCCTATGCCCTGTTAGGCTGTTACACCCACCCACCACGCCCTATGCCCTGTTAGGCTGTTACACCCACCCACCCCGCCCTATGCCCTGTTAGGCTGTTACACCCACCCACCCCGCCCTATGCCCTGTTAGGCTGTTACACCCACCCACCACGCCCTATGCCCTGTTACACCCACCCACCACGCCCTATGCCCTGTTAGGCTGTTACACCCACCCACCCCGCCCTATGCCCTGTTAGGCTGTTACACCCACCCACCCCGCCCTATGCTCTGTTAGGCTGTTACACCCACCCACCACGCCCTATGCCCTGTTAGGCTGTTACACCCACCCACCCCGCCCTATGCCCTGTTAGGCTGTTACACCCACCCACCCCGCCCTATGCCCTGTTAGGCTGTTACACCCACCCACCACGCCCTATGCCCTGTTAGGCTGTTACACCCACCCACCCCGCCCTATGCCCTGTTAGGCTGTTACACCCACCCACCCCGCCCTATGCCCTGTTAGGCTGTTACACCCACCCACCCCGCCCTATGCTCTGTTAGGCTGTTACACCCACCCACCACGCCCTATGCCCTGTTAGGCTGTTACACCCACCCACCACGCCCTATGCCCTATGCCCTGTTACACCCACCCACCACGCCCTATGCCCTGTTACACCCACCCACCCCGCCCTATGCCCCCCACTCATGTAACATCATATACTCCCGTGCCCTGCATGGGGCATGCCATCTGGAAGCTTCCTCACTGGCTGATCTGCCAACGAACCGGCCGTGCCCCACCCCGACCTACCGCACGGGCGAGCGCCTCCTGCCCCCTCGTGGCGGGGACGGCGACCTTCCCCTTGCGCCTCCCCCTCTCCCTGGGGACCTCCGCCGCGGTGACACCCCCCTGCCGCCCCGCTCCCCCTCCCTGCCCCGCTCGCCCTCTCTCTCCCGCTCCGCCTCCCTCCCCCTGTCCGCCCTGTCCCTGTCGGTCGGCCTGTCGCGGTCCCTCACGTCCCCGCGGCGGCGGGGGGGCGAGTCTACGGCGCGGCGAGGGGGAGGCGGCGGGGGGAGCGGCTCTGGCCTGCGCACGGGCTTTGGCGCGAGCACGAACTGCGCGCTGACCACACTGCCGTCGATCTGCGCCTGGAATAGATGCGGGGAAAGGTGGGGGAGTGGGGAGGTGAGTCGGGGGGGACAGGGGGAAGAGACGGGCAGGAGTGAGGAGAGGAGAGGCGGGCGAGTGCAAGAACGAAGGTGAAAGCAGAGCGAGCACCAACTGCGCGCTGACCACACTGCCGTCGATCTGCGCCTGGCGGGGATGAGAGGGAGGGGAAGGGAGGGGAAGGGATGGGATGGAAGTCAGCCAGGTCAACCCTACGCATCCAGTGTGCCACGCTCATCCCATCCACGTGGCACCCACTCACCCCATCCATGTGCAGGCGCGCCTTCTCTGCATCGGCGCGCTTCTTGAACTCCACGTAGCCGTAGCCCTTGGGCAGATTCACCTGCGGCACACAGCGACGCGCGGCAGAGACGAGGGGGAAAGGAAAGGGGAAGCCGCACGGAAGGCGAGAGTGAACAAGCAAGGCGGCATGCCGAATGACCGAGGTGAGGATGCCTGGTAGCTGCGGACAGATGCAACAAGCCGAGAACGTAAACACAGGGAAGGCAGGAGGGGAAGAGAGCAAGGATGAGGAGCGAACAGGAGTAAGAGGACAGGAGTAAGAGGACAGGAGTAAGGAGAGAGGACAGGAGTAAGGAGAGAGGACAGGAGTAAGGAGAGAGGACAGGAGTAAGGAGAGAGGACAGGAGTAAGGAGAGAGGGCAGGAGTAAGGAGAGAGGACAGGAGTAAGGAGCGAGGACAGGAGTAAGGAGAGAGGACAGGAGTAAGAGCGAGCAAGCACAGACAGAGAGGAGGGAGGGGGGTAGAGCAACTCACGACGCGGTCCATTGCGATCTCCACTTTACTCAGCTCGCCGTACAGCCCTGCCACGCACACACGGATCGCGGAGATTGGAGACGCGCACAGGACGCGACAGCCCGCACAGCCCGCACAAGAACCAGCGCAATAGCAGGCGGACACCGGAGAAGTTCAGAAATCGCGCGACAAGATCCATGGCGAGGCAAGGAGAGCACTTGAGCGGGACGGGATGCGCACTGCTGTGTACCCCGCGTGCTGCTGCTGCTGCGCTCACCGAACGCCCCGCGTGGGGCTGCTGCGCTCACCGAACGCCCCGCGTGGGGCTGCGGCGCTCACCGAAGATCTCTTTGAGGTGGTCCTCGTTGACGTTGCGCGTGAGGCACCCCACGTACAGCATTGTCGTCTCCGGCGTCGCCGACCGCTTCCTGCGGCCAGGGCGTGACGGGGTGACGGGAGCACGAGCACATGGAGAACGACGAACACATAGCGAATGACGAGGTCCTAGGGATTGACGAGCACACGGGGCTGAGGTAGCACACTGGGAAAGGACGCAGCACACCTGTCATTGGGCGACGGGCTTCGCTTCTTGGAATCAGCGGCGCCGCTCTCCTTCTTGCTCTGCGCGGTCGTCGGCCTCGCGCTGCAGGGGACGGAGGAAGAAGCGACATCGTGAACACTAGGTACCGAATAGCGACATAGTTATTTGGTACCCTGGACCTCGATCCCTGGACCTCCTAAGCGTGATTTCAAGCCGAAAAACACCTAGGCTTAACGATCCTCCGGGGACAGAGACAGGGAGCAATAACGCTGCAGTGTCTAGCAACCAACGGCAGGACGGACCCTTTCTTCGGCGGCGGGCTCCGGCTTCTGGAGGAGTCGGAGTCGGATCGAGAGGGCGAGGAGGAGCGTGAGCGAGAGGCGGAGCCGGAGTACGACGAGGAGGGCGACTTGGACTTGGACTTGGACTTGGAGTCCGACCCGGACTCTGATGACGGCTTCTTCGCCATGGCACGGATAGCTAGAGGCAAATGCGATCTGACTGTTTAGAGCCGCAAGCTGCTCAGTCTAGCGGTGCGATCTGGTTACTGACAGCAACGGGCATCACGACCTAGAAGTGCTATGGTAGTTAGTCGATGATGGCGACGAGCAGCGCTACGTGCGGAGAAGGTCTACGACTGACCTACCTGCGATGACCACTCGTGCTACGAGTTCTGAACTCAATGCAGCAAAAGGCTTCTGGAAGCCTCGCAACCTCGTTCTCGGTATAGAGATTTTGCTTCTTGTGTTGGGGTGTATGCAATTAGGAGGTTGGGAGTTGGTGACTAGGCTATAACATACAAATTACTAAATCCAAGAAGCTGGGGCACCTGCCAGTAAAGAGGGCAACACCAATCCCTGAGTCATAGCAGGAATTGCTAACTGATACTCCATTGCATGTGCCATTATTTCAGAGTGGCTACAGCAGCTGATACTGGTACGGCTGCAGGCCATGCCGCACACAGATCTGAGCATTTTGAACAAAGCAGACACCACTACCTATATTGTGACAAGGAGAGAAAAGTAGAGTGCAAAGCTAGACAGTGTACTTATCCATGGCTGACCTTGACCCTTTCTGGTCCGCCTGCACAGGAAACAAGACGCATTAGGGAAATGCACTCCTGTTCAGAAATGTCCGGGAACAATAGCAGGAGGAGCACGCACTGAAGAACATGGAAACTAACAGACAGCATTGCTAACTTACAAAAGAGGCAAATCCAATTTGCTCTGTAACGCCCAGGATCTCCTTCAGTTGCTTGCCGATGCTTGTCTGCACCCAGAACCAGCCAACCAAACAAGAAGAGGTGGCAAAACCTCTCAGGCACAGTCATCCCATGCCAAATGCACGCCCTCTGATTCAAAGCAACAGCACAAGCACACAGTTATCCCATGCCAAATGAAGCTCCAGGCGTACCTGAATGGTTTCGCTGCCAGCGGATTTGGTCCAGAGCGCCACTCTGTCCTTGCCCGTTCGGATGCTCACCACGGCGCCACAGATGTCGTTGCCCTCCTCGATCTGCTCCCCGATCATCGCCAGCATCTGCGGTGTAGGGGAATGGCGGCAGCACGTGACTAGGACAATTTGGAACAGAGGGAATCAATGGCTGAGTTCAGAAGCATGGAGGAACGCAGCGGGGATACGCAGTGAGCGATACGCGTTACAGTGCACAATCAGAAGCTGTCAAATAGTCGTCCACCGATTGGTTTACCCATTTCAATGTGCAACCAGGCGCTGGCAGCCTGACACAGTATCCCTTACCATGTGCAGCCACGTGTTGTCAAGGTACTCCTTGCTCCGCGAGCACGGGATGGTCCAGGAGCCGCCCTTCTCGCACTTGGGGTCCTCCCACTTGGGCTGGATGCCGTCCTTGAACAGGTGCATGTCCGCCTTGTTCATCAGCTTGCTCGGCTGCACTATGTTGTTGTATAGACTGCAGACGAAGAAGAATTAGTATTAAAACAAAAAAAGCAGCGATCATAGGATGGAGCAGGGAGGTTGAAAAATAAATCATATGACCATTGAGAATAGTGCGGAAGACAAGGATAGCGAGACGCGGGACGACTTCTAATACCCGTAAAGCACCGGACCACCAGGTTGGAACTACACCAGAAAAATGGCTACAGGTCAGCGATCATTTAACGACGCGGGTCTGGCACTGATGGAGAGCAAAAAGCCATTGAGCCACGCACCACCAGAAGTCCTCGACGGTCCCGAAGGTGAAGATCACGCGGAGCGAGCTTCCCCACGAGCTGCCGCCTTTCCCGCGGTGCTGCGGGTTGTCGAACCACAGCGTCCACCGGTGCTCCAGCGGGTGCTTCACCAGGGCTTCGCTCTCCGGCGCCGCTGCTGCTGTCGTCTCCGCCTGCTCCGCCGCTGCTGCGTTCGTCTCTGTCTCGGTCTGCTCTACGGCCGCCATGTCTCAAGCGATGGAAAGGACCAGACGACTATGCGATTTAACTGCTCAGGTCCTTTTCAAAACCCTAGTTCTTTCTTAGCCTGGTAGGGTAGCAGCACGCGGAGACTACAACTATTTCCTCGACTTTCCGCGGATTCTTCGTAGTCTGCGATTACCGCAGACCTAATTTCAGTAAAATCGCTGCAAGCCGGACAAAGAGCGGCAGCAACGAGAGGGTTGCTGGAAATCTGACCGCGTGAGGCGGCGTTGGAGGATAGAGATGGGCGAGCGATGGAGCACACCTGGGGAGGGAAGGCTGACTGGAGGGGAAAGCGATGATTGAGGTGGAAACTCAAGTGAGGATAATACCGGTATAAGGAACTTCGCTAACATGTTCCCGGATGGCATTGTGTATTTTACAACATGCACATTGCTATGAACTTTGCAGTCCATCCAAATATCTCTTAATACATTACATATTTGCATCATATAATGCTCATTACATAAGAAGCTAGGTATTAGAACCTACCAACTGTACAAACACATGCACCTTCACCCCTTCCTAATGTGAAACAAGGCATGACGCATGAACCTGTTGGGATCATGCGACAAGGCTCTGTAAAGAACAATCAACACAGGATCGCACTGAGCTGCCCTCTCGATCAACTCATCCTGCTCGGCCTCAGACATTGCCAACATCCCCGGTTCCTCCCTCCTCCGTTCCTCTCCTCCGTCCTGCCTAATTCCTCCTAGCTCCATCTCTTCTCCCCACCCAGCGCCCTGTTCCAAACTACCAGGCGAGAGGTGGTTGGAAGCAGCTTCCATTGGGGTTGCTGTGGACATGGGCTGATTAGCCGGACCAAGCGTGCGGACACTGCCATTGGCTGAATCTGTGCGGGCTGCGCCAGCCTTGGGTGCTGAAGTTGGTGGAGCTGATGATGGTGCTGTTGCTGCTGCTGCTGCTTGTGAGCGTTCAGAGTTACCCAATAAGGGAGGAGTGGAGGAAGAGGCAGATGAGCGCTGAGGAGATGACCCAGGCACTGCTGCAGAGGTAGCGACTATGGTTTGAATCATGGCGACAGCTATGTCAGCATCACTCTTCCCCTGCCCTCCCTGCCTCCCGCTGTTGTCACGCCAGCTGCTCTCACTGGCACCAGACGCAGGTACTGCTGTATCTGGACTCATGCCCACTGGCTGGACAGCGGCTGGTGGTGCTGATGATGGTGCTGGTGATGCAAGCGGTGCTGCTGCTATTGCTGGTGGCGCTGGTGCTGGTGCTGATGGTGCTGCTGCTGGTGGAAGACTTGAAGCTGGTGGTAAAGGTGTTCCCGCCATTCCTGGGCTTGCGAATCCTGCAGCAGCTACAGCACCATTGGCTGCCAGTTGGCCTCTCACCATTGGCTGTGCTGCAGCCTGCACGCCCCCATTTCTTGCTGCAGCAACTGGCGGTACCTCACTCTGTTGTGCCCAACCACTGCTGCCACCATTAATGTCACCTCTCACGAAATCGTCTCCCATACTTCTTATTCCTACATTGCCTGCCCTGCTCCTGCTAACAGTGCTCATGCCATCGCTTATGCTGCTATTGCCAGTGCTGCTGCTGCTATCTACAATCGCAGTGCTGCTGCCGCCAGCATCACCCTTCCCTCCATTGGCTACTCCTTCCAGAGGGGCAGTCCCCTTGGCCCCACTCCCCCCTGCTGCTCCCCCCGCCCCTGCTCCTGCAGTGGGCGAGGGAACGGTCTTGGCAGCTCGCGAGGGCAGGCAGTGGAGGGTGGCAGGGGTGCGCGACCAGATGACAAACCCAAAGTCGGGGATCAGCGCCAGGTCCTTGGCCAGACGCAGGGGCTCCTGCGAAGGGCGGAGCCGGGGAGAGATGAAATGAGTTGAGCTTCTGAGTTGATGCAAAATGGCAGGGGTGCAACCAGATGACAGACAAAGCCACAGTCGGGGATGAGAGCCAAGTCCTTGGCCAGGCGTCGGGGCTCCTGGGAGGGACAGAGTGGGACAGCAAGGGAGCAGGGAACGCAAAAAATGGGACCTGGGCAAGCCACAAAGTGAGTAGCGACCACATAGTAAAGAGCACATGAGAGCGAGCATATCCAACATCACGAACAGCATGTGTAGAGGTGGGAGGCGGTGCACTGACCACGAAGTCCCCCGAGTTGGGGATCCAGAGCGCCAGCTGCTGCACCTCACTGGCGCCCTCAAGCCCGTTCGCCAGGGCTATCTTGGCGCGCACCGCGTTCTGCCCGCGCAGAGGGAAGGGTAGTGGGGGGTGAGTGGTCCGACACACAGGGAACACAGGACGAGCCGTGGAGGGTGGGTGATGTGCGTGGGACGGTTATGAACAGTCACCATCTTAGCATGCAACTCACCCGCATGTCTCAAAACCCGACGCACTGCTATCGCGGTGGACTAATAAGAAGTCAGTCAAATTAAAGCTCACAAGAGACGGCACTCGGATGGTGATGGATTTCATGCTGCCGTTGGGCGCATCATACGCCTCCAGGTCCCACTCTATGCTGCGAAACGTCTTGCCAAACACCAGCGTGCGCCAGTACAGAGCGACCTGAGGGCATGCAGGGAGGAGAACAAGGTGAGAAAAAAAAAACTTTGAAGGCGATCCTAACATTTCGCCAAACACTGGCAGAGAAGGAAAAGAAGGCGAGCAGAGGCGTACCAGGCTAGCGCCCCCAAACGAGCGCCAGAGAGCGTCCATCTGCGGCACGACTGCGACTGCCACCGGCGCTGCTGCGGCTGTCTTGGCTGCAAAGCCCAGCCCCGCCATGCCAAACACCGTGCCCGCTGCACTGGCTGCCGGGCCGAACAGCATCCACCTGATGGCACGGGCGGGAGAGAAGGAGAGGGTAGGACTTGGGGTGAGAGGAGAGGTGGGAGCGAGGGAAAGATGGGCGCGTGGCCAGGCGGGAAAGGGCATCCCACTCTCCGTGGTAACCCTATCCCGACTCACACCTCACCACCGCTTTTCACACCTTACAGCAGCTCCTCACAGACACTTCCAGTCTCACCAGGGTTCTTTCTCCACCACAGCAGGCTGCGGCCCCACGCCCTTGAGCCACTCCTGCACGTTCACATACACATACGCGCCCGCCGCTATGGGCAGCACGGTGAGCACCACCATGGTGGCCACCTCCACCACTGTGCTCTGGGTCGCCGCCGCCACCACCCCCGCCCTCCACCGCCTCAACCTCTCCTCCGTCCGCGCCTTGCTGCTCATCCCCTCCCTCTCCCCCTCTCCCTCTCCCCTCCTTCCCCCTCTCCGCTTCCTAAACCTTCTCCCCCGCGCGTCCACCCCCCACCGTCCCCTGTCCGCCTCCTGGCGCTGCCGCTCCCGCTCCAGGAGCACGTCACGCGCGTACTCGTTATAGAGTCGCGAGAGCTGCGGGTCCTGGCTGACGGCCTGGCGGAGCTCGCCCCACTCGTCCTCCAGCGACGACCCCTCGATGCCCCCCCGCGACACCTCCTGCAGCAGCGCCATCTCCACCACTGCGCGCTCTAGCACCTTCCGCTCCGCCCCGCCTGCTTCCGCATCCGCGGGGGAGGCGAGCGGGGAAGGGGAAGGGGAAGGGGAAGGGGAAGGGGTAGCAGAAGTAGCACTCGAGGCGGCGGAATCGCCTGCGTACAGCTCAGTTCGATTCACGAAGGGCCCTCGTGTGTACTTGGACCTTAAAGCTGTACTTTCATCGCTGCTACTGCCACTTCCTTCACTGTCACTCGGGGCGCTGCTGCTACCGACGCTGCCGAACCCGTTGTCCCCTGCATTACGGTCTCTCTTTGCAGAACTTCTGCGCTTCAGCCTACTCGCTGCACGCGCCACGGCCAAATCCTCCCTCCTCCGACTCTCGCGCTCCTCTCCTCCGCCAATCCCATTCGCCCCTCCGCCTCCATCCCCCCATTCTTCCCCCAGTTCCGCGCGCCCCCGCGGATTCGCAGCGGAAGCAACGCCTAGTCCCAGCAGCGAGAGTACGTTTTCCAGTGCCTGCAGCTGCTCCTGAAGCTGCGCCTGCAGCTGCGCCTGCGCCTGCTGCAGCTGAGCCCCCATGCCTTCCACGGTCTGTGCGCCATTCCCACTCTCCCCTTCCGTCTCCCCAGTCGCTCCTCTCACTGCCGCTGCGGCATCACCAGGTGCAGCCGCAACCGCCACTGTTCCGCTCGTCGCTGCGACCGCTGCTTCCGCTTTGGGAAAGCTCTTCTCGCTGCTGCTGCTGCTCGAGGCGACAGATGTGTCAGGATACGCCGTCACGCCGTTGGATATGCTATCGGATGTGATGCCAGTGACCGCAGGTGATGGCATTCCAGGGTTTCTTGGCCTCGCGGATGTTGGGATCTGTGCATCCGCTGCAGGATTTGCTGAGGATTCCGCTCTGTACGATTCAGAATGTACCGGTTGGTCGGACTGATGCGCGGAGGACCAGTCCTTCGCCAGCGATAATTGCGACGGTTGCGACGTCTCGAGCGGCCTCTCGGCATGGCCTGCGACGGGCTGCGACGAAACCTCATCGTGGGGTACGTCAAAACGCTCGGCACCGCCAGCAGCTGGCGCGTTGGCTTCTGGAATGGAAGCACCGTGGTCACTAACGTCCAGATGCGGTGATTCTGCGGCTTGCGGCATAGGTTGTGTCTCTAAAGACGCCACATCAGGGGGGGGTGCGGGTTCGTCGCTCGACGAGTCGTCGCTCAGCTCCGGGCTCAACGCTGAGACATCGTCAACACCCCTCGACCTGCATAGCGACAGCGGTGACGGCCGATGCTTGATACATGTCAGTCGTGTATCTACGGATGAGGGAACTGGGGGAATGTACAGCCTCCTGCCTGGTTTGTGGTCTGAATGTCTGACAGAGGCCCGGACGATAACTCTTACATGGGATGTGGATAAGTATGAATGAGGCGCGGACAATGCGACCGTCGGAGCCATCAGGTAACGGGGATAGTGAGCTACTTCCTGCAGGAACTGCTCATTCTCTGGAGCACCTAGACTTGCCTGTGATGACAACAAGCTGCGACTGAAGCACTTGAATCTGAAGTATTCTGGGATCAAGGGTCTACCTAGTGATGGAATGTGGTGGCCCAAGCCAGCCGACATGGTTTGGTGTCTAGTCTGGAGCTAAGGGCGTGGAACATACAGTTCTTCTCTTTGGATACCGGAACTGAGTTCCGGAACATACTGTTCTCTGTTCCAGCAACACAAAACAGAGAACAACGCTGGAATATCCTGTTCCGAAACCCATCGCTGTTTGGATTTGCCACCTGGTACCTCCGTTCGAAAATTCAAACTGCTACAGTGTTTGCG